AATTCCTAGCTTTTGTTTTGACCTATTTTATTTCATAAGATTGTATTTCTTTACTGTCTTCAGGGGCAGCACTGGAACGAAAGCTACTGAGGAGCAGGCTTCTGTATATCTGTTCCACTGCTACTTTTCTGTTTCTTTGAAATAGGAAGTAATTCACAGTGATCAGCAAGCTACAGAGAACTATAGGTCAGTTTTCACCCCTGGACTTCCTCATTTAGGGACTTAAAATCTGAATGTCTAACAGTTTCCCAGAGGAAGCTGATGCTGCTAGCCTGAGATCCCACTCTGATAATAATTAAATGACAGCAATGAGGAATTCATTGATCCCATCTGAGAATTTTCAAACCAACTTTTGTCTATCTTACACATCTGTGGAATAAAGCCCATATTTGAGCTACCTTCAGGAATGGCCCTAGGTCCCATGCCTATGATGGAGCCTCATTTCTGCTCAGTAGGGCCATGTCTGCCTGGGTGGTCAGCAGTTGGCCAGCAGTAGTTGTGTCTTTTTCTGACTGCCTCAATAGGAAAAGAACTGTCCACACTACAGGGTCACATGCCTCAGACACATCTTACAATTGCCAGAGAGCTTCTAAAAATCTCAGTGTTCAGTCTGTAGTCCAAGTCTATGGGTGTAGGACTCAGATACCAGTACGATACACATTTGGCTGGAGGCTAAACTTCAGGCCTAGCTAGCATTTCCAAAGTATATAACTTTCTCATTTATCCTCCTTGTCTTTTGCCATTTCCCAAGATATTGCACAGGACCAGGCATCCCATCCTTAAGAAACTGGGCTTCTCACTAGTAGCCCCATCGTTCTTTTCTTCCTCCCTTTCCTTTGTCTCTTTTCTCTCACGATGGCTTTTCAAATAGGAGGTGCCCTATTATTTCGTCATCCTTGAGCCAAGTCTTCATCTTTTACAGTGAGCTAAAAGTGAGTCTCCTTATAATTTCCTTGCCTGTGATTCTGTGCTCATTCCATGCCCAGACTTATACAGCCAGTAGAAGGATCTTTCTAAAACACAAATGGACCTTTTGACTCCCTTTTTATAAACCTTTATGGAGAATCAGTGTTTTGTAATGAACAATTACAGATGCTTTAGTCTGATAGGCAAGGATGTCTGTGATTTAGCCTGACCTCCACTGCTTCCTTGCTTCCAAACCTTCATGCATCTGATTTGCCCTGCAAAGACTTTCTCAGTGACTTTGAAAATATCCTTTTTTGAGAGACAATTAACATGTATTTACAGTATGTAACTCAATGGCTTTTATTACGTTTATAAATGTATATGTAACATTTATTTTTCTTTACATTCATTTGATTGACTTTACCTGGTTGAACTTTCAAAAGAGGAAGCTAAACAAGGAAAGTCAGGCTTCCAATCACTGACCATCACTAACTATTTCAATGAACACAGGTTAAGTAGGGAGCAGGAAGATTAACATGTGGCAGTGTCTGAGTTTCTTAAGAGGGCCCTTGGATTCACACATTTGGATATTTTTGGAAAAGAGTGTTCTTTTTCTTACATCTTTCAGAGGTCTGGGATTGTCCAGCAGGTACAGTACAGACCTCAGAGTTCCTTGACATCTAAAGTAGAGTTCATGCCATCAAAATATTTTCTTTGGAATAGTCCCAACTTTAAATATGAGAAACCCTGAGAATGTGGTTCAGTGGCAGAGTGCTTGCCTAGCATGTGCAAGGCCCTGGTTCAATTTTAATTACTGAAATAAAAGGGTGGTGTTTCCTTTTAGGCTCCTTTCTGTAAAAGCCTGGAGGTAGCTCTCATGGTTGGACTTCACAAAATACCTGAGGCAACATTCTTTGTTCTGGAGTCAGGTGGTTTTGAGTTTAAAAATCAGCTTTGCTAATAACCACTTGTTTAAAATCAGTCTTTGCTCTTGAGTCTATAGTGTGGGTATTATAACACTTCAAGGGAGGGTTTCTAGACAGAAAGATAAGGGTGGCACAAGGAATGTGCCTGGTTTGAAGCGTCATATACAACAACGGTCTGTGGTGGGCTGAATCCTGCACAGCACTTTGTGTCTCTGGGTGTGTGTATGGGGATGGGGGTAGGAGGTGTGTCGATGCGGGCTTTCCTGTGATTTGCTTTAATCAAAATGGTGCTGGAGAGGTGTGAGCTCCTTCCAGAGCACACAGAACAGGGAAGGGTGGAAGCGACTGCCTCTATCCTCTCAGAGGATAAAGTGTGCCCTGGGGAAGTGTGCAAAACCTTCACGCAATCTTCATACGTGAGACACATTACATATTTTTTTCTACTTTTTAACTACCAAACAGTATAGACTGACATAGAAGGTGGTAATTAGTAGTCAAGCTTTTGACTCCATCTTGTGTATGTCTAATGCTTCCAGTCATCTGTGTTCTGAAGGACAGACACTTCGTTCCCTCCAGTGGGCCTGCCTTTTATACCCATCTTAACAGTAGGTCAGTCTGGAATCCCAGTTATCTGGGTCATACTACAAAGAACTGGACCAGGTAAGTCATCACCATTTCTAAACATGAGCTCTATCTGCCAGGACTATGTCTCTGTGAGTCTCAGAGGATGATCATGAAACAGCGTCACACAACAATCCTGTATGTGGTCCACATGCAGAATACTCCTGTCAGTCTATGGTCAGTGGTGAGTCCTCATCCTACACACTGCCCGGAGGTCCACTTGTCTACATACATCAGGCTTTTCTTAGATTGTGGCTGCATCAGCATTCTGCTTATGTAGGCTGAGGCTGGGAAGTGAAAGTTCCGGGAATGCTATCCGGAGAGAAGAACATGCCATTCAGAACTCACCACTGATGAATGACTTGTGCTTGAGATACATGGCTTTTGATTCAGGGCTTGCTGGTTGGTCATGATTCAGGGTTTACCTCAGAGTCAGAGGGCTGAAGAACTCTGTGGAAACAGGTAGAAGTCTTTGATGGATTAGGAGAAATAAAGAATGCAAAATACTTGTAATCACAAATCTAAAGTATACTCTGAGAAAGGGATTCAAATATACAGATATGCTGTAAAACAGAAGGCTTTGAAAAATAGAAGTCCTTTACTGTGTAGATTAAGGCTCTGAGGTTCAACCCTTTCATGTGTAAAACAGCAATTAAATGCATTCCTCCATTTCACAACTGTGCTGTGACACCTCAGTGTAGTCATGCAACATAGAAAGTACATAGGAAGCTGGGAATGGAACGCTGGCCTCACAGATGCTAG